AGGTGTTCAATTAAAAAAATAAGATATGTAAAGAAACGGGAATGTGTAACCCATGTTCAGGAAGAAAAATCATTGATAGAAATACTTTCTTCTTGTCTCCACACAGTAACAGACAAAGCTTTAAAAGCTTCAAAGAACTAGAGAAAACGATATTTAAAGAATTAAAGGAAAGTATGAAAACAGTGAATCAATCAGTACAGAATATCAAGTAGATAGAAATTATTTTTTAAAAAAAAGGATGCAATGGAAATTCTGGAGTTGAAAAAGACATAATTGAAATGAAAAATTCTCTGGAGTGAGATGGCAGAAATGAAAAAATCAGTGAACCTAAAGCTAAATTAATAGAGATATATCTAATTAAAAAATGAGAAAATATTTGAAGAAAAATGAACAGAACCTCACAGTCCTGTGGGACAACATCAAGTATACCAATGAGTATACGTTGGAAAGAGGAGAGAGGAGGGGTAGGAATATATTTGAAGAAATAATGTCCAAAAACATCTTGAATTTGATAAAATATATTAACATACATATTTGAGAAGCAAACCCCAAGTAGGATAAATGTAAATGAGCCCACACCTAAATAAACCATAGTCAAACTGTTGATACAGATAAAAAGTAAAAATCTTGAAACGTGCAAGAGAAAAGCAACTCTTCATGTACAAGGGAACAACAATACGAGTAATGGCTGACTTCTCATCAACAATAATGGAGGCCAGAGGCAACAGAATGACATTGACTGTGCTAAAAGAAAAAGCTATATTCAGAAAAGTTATCTTTTAAAAACAAAATCAAAATAAGGACATTCTTGGATAGAGAATGAGAGAATTCATTGCTAGCTGGCCTGCCTTAACAGAAATACTAGAAAAAAAAGTCCTTCAGGCTGAAAGGAAATGACACCAGATAGTAATTAAAATCCATAGGAAGAAATAAAAGGTATGGGAAATGGTAAATATGTGGGTTAATATAAGACTTCATAAATATATTTAGTCTCATTTCTGATAACATTTTTAAAAACCTAAGATTGTATAAAGCAACAAATTTTTTTTACTTTTGTTGACTTTCAAACCTATGTAGATATATCACAGTAATAGCATAAAGGATGAGGACAGGAATGGAGTTATATTGGAGAAAAGTTTCTATATTGTACTGTAATTCAGTTTAGTATTAATCTTTTAAGTAGATTGTGCCAAATTAAGATGCATTTTATAATCCCTTGAGCCACCACTAAGAAAATCAGTCAAGAAATATAGTAAAAAATCAACAAAGGAATTAAGGCAGTACATTAAAAATTGCTTAACACAAAAGAGAAGGAACAGAGGACTGAGAAGGACAGGAGACATGTAGAAAACAAAATAGCAAATGTAAACCCAATTACATTAATAATTACATTAAATGTGAATGGTCTAAAACACCACAGGCAAAAGGCAGAGATTATCAGACTTGATAAAAAAACAAGATCTAACTATATATGGTCTACAAGAGACATACCTTAGATTCAAAGACACAAATAGGTTAAAAGTAAGAAGGTGGAAAAAGACATACCATGCAGACAATAACCATCAGAGATCTGGAGTAACTATATTAATTTCAGACAAAATGTACTTAAGAAATATTGCTAGAGACAAATTGGCCATTTCATAATGATAAAAGGATCAATATATCAGGAAGATATAGCAATTATAAATGTACATATACCTAAGAACAGGTCCTCAAAGTATGTGAAGCAAAACCTGACTGAAAAGTAGTAGACAATTCAACAACAACTGATTTTAATTCTGCATTCTCAATAATTGATAGAACAACTAGACAGAAAATCATCAAGTATGTAGAAGACTTGAAGAACACTCTGAATCAACTCTGTCTAACTCACGTATATAGAACATGCCACCCAACAAATAATACATGTTTTTTCAAGTACATATGGAACATTCTCCAGGATACATCATAAGTGAGGCCATGAAATAAGTCTCAATACATCTAAAAGGATTGATATCATACAATGTATGTTTTCCAACCACAATGGAATTAAATTAGAAATAAACAACAGAAAGAAATCTGGAAAATCCACAAATATTTGGAAATTATCCAGCACACTTCTATATACCCATTGGGTTGAAGAAGAAATCATAGTGGATTTCAAAATATTTTGGAATGGGGCCGGCCCGGTGGCGCACTGCGCTAGTGCGCCGCTTGGGAAGTGCGGCGGTGCTCCCGCCGAGGGTTCGGATCCGACATGCAGACCGGTTCCCGCTCACTGGCTGAGCGAGGCGCGGGGGCAACACCGAGGGTTGCGATCCCGTTGCCGGTCCCGGTCCGGTACGGGGGCGACACTGAGGGTTGCGATCCGTTGCCGGACACGGAAAAAGACAAAAAAAAATAAATTTTGGAATGCAACATGTCAAAATTATAGAATGCAGATAAAACAGTAGCTTTCAATACCACTATCAAAAAAGAAGAAAGGTCTGAAATTAATAACCTAAGCTTCAACCTGAAGGAACTACAAAAGTAAGAACAAAATAAAACAGAGTAAGCCAATGAAAGGAAATAATAAAGATTCAAACAGCATACAGTAAAATAGAAAACAGAAAAATAATAGAGAAAATCAATGAAACTAAGTTTGATCAGTAACTAATGAAACTAAGTTTGATCAGTAAGATTGACAAAGCCTTAGCTAGGTTGAAAAAGAAAAAAGAGAAGATACAAGATACAAATTAGCAAAATTATAGGAGTGCTATGGCTCCTACAAAGGTTTAAGAAGATTATAAGAAAAAGAGAATGTTAACTTTATGCCAACAAATTAGACAAAATACATTTAACAATTAAGTGTAAAACTTGTACAATGAAAAAGTACAAAACATTGGTGAGGGTAATTAAAAATCTAAGTAAACAGAGAGACATTTACATGCTTATGGTATGGAAGATTCAGGATTGTCAAGATGGCAATTCTTCCCAAACATCTATAAATTCAAGACAATTCCTATCTAAATCCCAGCAAATTTTTTTGTAGAAATTAGCAATCCTAAAATTTACATGAAAATGCAAAAGACCTAGAAATAGCCAAACCAGTTTTAAGTATTAAGTTTGGAGACTATATCATTTCAAAACTAATTATAAATCTGCAGTAGTCAACATTGTGTGATATTGGCACAATTTCTATAGTCATATAGATCAGTGGAACAAAATTGAGTCTAGAAAAAAACCTCACATTGATCATTAATTGATTTTCAACAAAAGCGCCAAGACAATTCAATGGGTAAAGGATAGCATTTTCCAGAGGATAGCATATTATATTGAAACAATTAGAAATCCATGTGCAAAAAAAACCCCAAAAAACTATCTTAGACCCTCACCTCATACCATAGATAAAAATTAACTCAAAATGGATTATAGACCTAAGTGTAAGATCTAAAACTATAAAACTCTTAGAAGAAGTAGGTGAAAATCTTCATGCCTTTGGGTTAGGCAGAAAGTTCTGAGATATGACACCAAAAGCACAAGCCATAAAAGAAAAATTGATAAATTGGAATTCATCAAAATTAAGAATTTCTGCCCTTTGAAAGATGCTCTTAAGGGAATGAAAAGACAAGTAAGAGACTGGGAGAAAATATTTGCAAATTGTATATCTGGTAAAGGACTTATATCCAGAATAAATAAATAACTCTTAGAACTCAATAAAACAACCTGGTTTTAAAATAGGCAAAGGATTTGAATAGACATTTTGCTTAAGAATATACACAAGGGGCTAGGCACATGAGAAGATGCTCAGCTTCATTCATCACTAGGGAAATGCAAATTAAAAGCTCTATAATTCACCACTAGAATGGCCATAACAAAAAAGACAGACAATATCAAATGTTGGTGAGGATGTGGAGAAACTGAAATCTTCATGCATTGCTGATGGCAATATAAAATGGTACACCCTCTTTGGAAAGCAATTTGATGGTTTCTTAAAAAGTTAAACATAAACTTACCATGTGAACATGCAATTCCACTCTCAGGAATCTACCCAAGAGAAATGAACACATTTCTGCACTCGGACATGTTCCACACACACTAGTGTTCATAGCAGCACTATTCATAATAGCCAAAAACTGATAACAATCTAAATGTCTATCAGCTGGTAAATGAGTAAGCCAAATGTAGTGTATATCCATACAATGGAATAATAATTCAGCAATAAAAAGTAATGAAGTCCTGCTACAACACGAATGCCTTGAAAATGTTATGCTAAGGGAATGAAGTCAAACAATATATCAAAAAAGTAGAAATACCACAATTTGTATGATTCCATTTATATAAAATATCCAGAAAAGGCACATTTGTAGAGAGGAAGAGCCGATGATAGGGCTGGTGGTAAGAGTGGTGATTAACTGTGAACACACAAGGGAGCAGTTTGGGCTGATGGAAAGGTTGTGAGACTGGATTGTGGTGGTGGCTACCCCACTCTTATCAATTTACTAAAAATTATTGAGTTATACACTTAGAACAGGCAAATTTTATGATAGATAATTTATACCTCAACAAAACCATTTTTAAAGAAATGTTCTCACTTTCTTGACCGTTTGTGCTGAAATTTTGAGAGCTCTTCTAAATCCTGATGCAACTAGGATTGATTTGCTTACATTTTGACATAAACTCTCTGATTTGTGTGTTTAATATTCTCTATCTCATAAGAATAATAACTATCCAAGAAATACCTTTGTACAAGTGTACCTTTGTTTTAAATACATTTCTTCCAGCACCTCTTCGTGTTTTTCAGTTTCAGCTAAATGTTTTTTGGTTCTCGACTGAAGTTTACTATTCTGTTAGTGGTCTTGTCTTTGACAGGTTTTTTTCCAGATTGGTATTAACTGTTAGAAACCACAGCATGGAACAATTTTTATATACTTTTGATCTCTTTTGTTAAGTTCCTTAATATTTTTCTGATGAAACATAAAGTCTCATTTCTGAAATGCACCTTGGTTTTAATTATATGTTTATCTTTCCTTTTGAAACAGAATATGCTTCTCTGGGATCACTCTATGATTACATTAACAGTAATAGAAGTGAAGAGATGGATATGGATCACATCATGACCTGGGCCACAGATGTAGCCAAAGGTAATAATGCTTGGTATATTCTTAAAGAATTGGTGGGAAGTATTTTCCCATGCTGACATGGGGACTTGTGTCAGAAAAATTTTTATTCTGTCTTTAAATGTTCATTTTTCAGGCCAAAAGTAGTAAGAATTATGCAACTTACTGTACAGATAATATTTTAGGTCATTGTCTTTCCACTCCTGAATTCTTTTCTCTTCTTCCTGTCTTTATTTTATATCTTTTCCTAAAATCAAGTTCTAGCAAGTTAGTAAACTCCAGGGCACACATTTTTGCTATGTTTTATGACACTGTAATCGATCAGCTTGCTTGACACATTAAATGGAAAAAATCATAATTCTGTTACTGTTCTGAAAGTTTTTACTTAGACTCAGAATCCAGAAAACGTGATTTATTGTAGGGTTAGTACTACTCATTTTATACACAGAATAATATGCTAAAAATAGTATTTGCAAAAATAAATTTACTTGTCCTGCCATGTACAAGCAATTCAGATTTTATTTTATATTTAATGTAAACTTGGGCATCACCTTGGAAATTAAATATTTTAATACACAAAATTCATAAACAAAGTACCATTTCTTTTTCCCTCATAAATTCCTGCATAGACTAATGCTTTCTAAAGCAATTCAAGATCCATTTATTTTTATCTCTTTTTAATTTCATTTTCCTAACTGAACATTTCTGAGTTTTATTTGTAACTGTCAAAGTTGCTTTGGAAACAATTAGATCTAAATAACAAACACTGATAGTTACATTTGTATTCTAAGAACCCATGGAAAGCAAGTGTATCTAAATTTTACTGGGGCAATTAACTCCTTTGCATTTTAGCACTGCATTCTTTACAAGCATCTCTTTGTAAAGCAAATATAATGTTGTTTAGCACTCAATCAGGGGAGCACACACTTTACTTTCACAGGGAAGTCACACAGTGACTTCCAAAAGTAATAGTCTTTTGGAATATGATATAGCCTTTAGGGAATTATCTTTTTTATTGTCTGTTTTAAGTTTCATCAGTACTGTCCAAATTCTTCAAATAACGAAAGTAAAAAAAAATTTTTTTAAGTTTCACACTAGATACTACTGCTGAATGATGCTAGTTCATTACCTTATAAAAATAATAAGCTCTGTTCAGGATGGTGTACTTAAAGCTTTGGCTGTGTTAGTTAACTTCACTGTATAGTCATGCATCAGGTATCTCAAATCAGCCTTAGAATTTCATATTCTTCAGAATATTTTCATGTAACATTATAGTCACTTCTGCATGTCAGTAGTACACAGAGACCACCTATTATTAGAAGCTGCTTGCGGATTGTGGAAATACATAAGTGTAAATACATACAGAGACAGTCTTTGACTTAGAGCACTTTACATTACAGACATTTAGGGTGCTCAGCCAATTACACCCATGTTACTACTTAAGGGCTCTTAGGATGGATAGACAGCAAAGAACTCAACTGACATCAGTCACTCTGCTTCCTGCTGTGCTCTACTTAAGCATCCCTGGTTCCTAGCTGTTAACCTCTTTACCACCTTTTCCACCTCCCTGCCCTATCAGCCTGGTCTGAGTCTTTTGCATCAGCACAGTCATTCCCTGGTGTTTCTCAAGAGTGCCGGGGGGGGGGGGGGGGGGG